CCATTACATCAATCGTTTAGAACGGAGGAAGTATTATATATTGATTAGTTTGGAATTTCTGATTATTTATATATTTCACTGAATGATAGATGTATAATATATCAAGATTATGTGTTCGGTAAATAAGTTACTAGTGTTGTGTCCTAAACTACTAAAGTTTTTGAAAATGTTGTCCCGCGCAACGCGCGGATACCTGGCTAGTTAGTCTTAACAAATCAACCCTTGAATTGCTACAACATACATAAGCTTATTGGGGTATATATGTCATTTCACATATTAACACCAACGAACTAACGAACTCTGCGCGCGCCAAACATAGTTTTAAAGCGAAAGTAAAAATATTCCTGTAAAATCCACCTGCCTTTAGACAGGGTTAATGCCAAAACCCAACCATTAAAAAGAAAAGATTTTCATAGTTCTTGAGATAGGTTTAACGGAAAAACAGTGTCGAACACAACCCTCGCAAACACATGCCGAGTTTCCGGAATATCCCCGGAATACAGCAAAGCATACTCAATCTTGCTTCCTTGCTTCGACTCGAATCCCATTTCTCTCTCTTCTTTCACACACTGGAAGATTCTTCCTGCTCTGAGGTACAATTGCAACGGTATAAACACCTAAAAGCCATATCCAACAGATAAAAGGAAAAAAAAAGAGTTAGGACATTAATTTTCACACCTTTACATGTGTTTTAAGATTTTTCAAGGGTTTATTACCAAATCGGAGTACGGTGCTTGAGGGTAAGCTGCCATAGCTTTAGAAATAAAATACCCATCAGTCATCTGGTTCAAAGCATCTTTGATAGATGCATCAAGATCCATGACCTCGTCCAATAGGGTTTGAAAGTCGAGATTCTTCTCGGGTTCTAGTAGCTCGAAGAAGCTTCTATCGTGTGGCCTAGTGATCTTCTTTGTGATTTTTGTAGCTTCTAGAATGTCTCCACCGTTGTGTACAGCAAGGCTAAACGCAGCTACCACTAAAGGACTTCGAGGTTTATCAGCTAGTGCTTTGTGAAATGCCAAGATTGCTATCCTGTAAATTTCCAAATATTACAATAACCATAAGAAAACAAAATATGTTCAACTCATAAGATGAGATATGAACTCAGATGAGGATTTATCTTACCACAAGCTGCTGTGACAAGGTCTATCAGACGCTAACAATTTATCCAAATTAGCAAAGAGAGACTGCACGATAGAACATTCATTTGAGTTTCTTGACTCGATATTCCAAGCAACAAACACATCTACAACTATCAAAGAGGCTTTCTTTCTGACCAGAAGCATGTTAGTCCTTTTGTCACGTCTCCTGAAACCACTGCGTACAAGATATGCTCCCTGTGAAATCAAAGTTAATAAGACAAACGTTAATAAGAAGAGTAAGACCCAACAAATAGACAAGTGAAACCCCTGATTGAAATTTACTTGAATTGGTAGAAGAATTTCTAGTATCCCAAATTTCCACAGCAATCTCAAAGAAGCTTCTGCTGATCCATAAGCTAACATGTAATTCAATTCCATCAAGATCCTTCCCTGAACATGGACACAGAGTCAGTTATGAATACGATAAAGGCTAACACAATATGTCAAGCAAATATTTCTTTGGAGGATAGATGCGTAATGTAGGCCTACCTTATCAAGTCTTTGTACTAGGAACGAAAGGTTCTTAACATAATGAGCTGTTTCCTTGGAAATTCTGAAATCTAAACGTGCAGCAATTCTTATTCCACGAAGAATCCGAGCTGGAAACATCATCATAAATATCATAAATGATGAGCGTGATAAGTTTTCACAATATAGAATCTTACATAGAATAAATTTGTTACGCTTGACAAACTTACCAGAGTCTTGTTGAAAAGATGTGCCAGCGTGAATCACTGTTCGAACCTGTGATTGTAGAACCACATTATGAATAAATGTACATCACAAAAAATTTGTTTGAAATAAATCTGAAAGCAAATTTAAGCAGAATACATTCACACTTTAGCTTTTCTAATATCTTCAATTCCTCCTAGATAGTCATATACAACTTTGGCATATGGATCAAACATCAACCTGAGATAAACATGAGGAAGGAAAAACTATAAGAATCTCTAAAATACAGATAAATTTGGGATGCAGAGGAAACAAAGGAGAAATCACTGAAGTGTTGATAAGATACCCATTAATTGTGAAATCACGTTGCAAACAGTTATTCAAACGGATACAGTCCTCGTCACCATCTGAGCTGCTCGATTCTTTGATTTCAGTTCTCATGTTCCTCGAAGAATTCTTTGCAGAGGTACTGAAACTCGAAACCTACTCAAATAAAAGAAAGCCAAAGAAAAAAGAACAAAAACAAGGCGAAGTTATAAAACGTAGAGCTTTTGCCTTTGCTATGCATATATTGTACTCAAAAGGAAAATAAACTAGTTAAATAATAAACCTCTATTATATCATCGCCAACATGTACATGACATATAGGAAACCTTCTTCCAACGATTTCACATCTTGAGAAAGTCCGAACCACCTAAATATGACCGATGCCAAGAAAATTTTAATCATAGATTGGGATGATGTAGACAGTGAAAAAAAATTAAGACCAACCTCTCTAAGTTCTGCAGAAGTGATTATGTCAAAGTCTTTCGGTGTCCGCTTCAAAATAAGATCCCTTACACAGCCTCCCACAAGGTAAACATCATATCCTACGCATTACAGAAAACAAGACAAAATTTTATCAAAACCAGCATGAGACAAAGTTGAATATAGTTTTGTTCAAAAATGTCTAAAGACTATTGCTAAAGATAACAAGCATCATCAACCTTTTCTCTTAAGGCCATTAAGCACTTGTCTTGTGGGGTTTGCAATCATAGAACTGCTTATTCCAAGGTCTTTTGAATTCAGTTGCTTCCACTCACGATCCCCCTCTGACCCTTTGATACGATACCCTTCATTTGCCAAATCAATCAAAGCAAGCGAAAAATATAAAAATCGAAATAGCTCGAAGAAAAACTCCAAGAAAAGGTTGAATTATCTGACTGGCTTCACTCAAAAGAGTAGCAATAGCTCAAGAACTAATTAGTATCTATCTACCCAAATGTCTGAAATGATAACTAGATTGGTGAATAGAGTCAAGTCCTAACAATTTTCAGTTTATACACATAGGAATAGTGAATTTTTGACTAAAATCCAGCAAAAAAACATGGACATAACTTACTTGTCTCACCAGCAACCTTGTCTTGACGATCACCTTCCTTGGCGAAACCATCTGGCTCATCCACTGCCTCAATTACAGCAGCAACAGTGTTGAACCGAGTCTGAGAGCGAAACAGCAAAATTAAGAAAGTAAAAAAAATACACAGCAGAATCGAATACTCTCTGTATAGTGTATAAAGAGTCACCTTCCATAAGTAGTGATACTGGAGACTACGAACAGGTAAATAGGATCTGTAACCGAAACCCACGCTTGAAGTCGCCATTGAAATTGAAAAAGATTCAACATTTCATCATGGGTTTTTAAAACTTTTGCCAAGTTGATTTTAGTGGATTGTGCAAGTAGCAGAGAAATTATTAGGGTTCTACTGTCTGAGGATGAGGCCGGAGAAGGGGTTTTACGCCGACACCACGCGCCACTCGCCCACGCGCCCAATGTTCATTTGAAAGTCTTGCCGTTTTAATGTTACTCATTATAACATCACGCCGTTTCCCCGAAAAAAAATTACAAGAGCTTGTTAAGTAATCTCCACAGACACGTGTCCA